ACAATCTACTCCACTCTACGACGTTGAACTCCACTCTACTCAACGACACTCAACGACACTCAAGGACACTCTACGACACTCTGTGACACACTATGAAACACCACTCTACTCTACCCTACTCTACGACACTCTACTCTACTTTGTGACATTCTAGTCTACTTTATGACACTCTACGACACTCTATTCTGCTCTACTCTACAACGCTCTATTCTTCTCTACGACACTCTATTCTATTTTACTCTATTATACTCTACGCCACTATACGACACTCTACTCTTTACTCAACTCTCAACTCAACTCTACTCTACGACACGCTACTCTACTCTACCCACTCTACTCTGCTCTACCCACTCTACTCTACTCTACCCACTCTACTCTACTCTACTCTACTCTACTCTACTCTACTCTACTCTATTACACTCTACTCTTTTACTCTAAGAAACTCTACAACACTCTACTCTACTCTAAGAAACTTTACTACACTCTACTCTACTCTTCTCTAAGACACTCGCATCTATTCTTCTCCACGACACTCTACTCTACTCTACTCTACTCTACAACACTCAAATTTACTCTACAACACTCTTCTCTACAACACTGTTCTCTACGACATTGTACTCTACTCTTCTTTACGACACTCTACTCTACTCTCTGACACTCTACTCTAGTATACTTTACTTTACTTTACTCTACGACACTGTACTCTACTCGACGACTCTCTATTCTACTCTACTTTACGCTACTCTACTCACTCTACTCTACCCACTCTACTCTACCACACTCTATGACACTCTACTCTACCCTACGACACTCTACTTTACTCTACGACACTCTAGGACACTCTTCTCTGCTCTACGACACTGTACTTTACTCTACTCTACTGTACGACATTCTACTCTACCGTACGACACTCTAGGACAATCTGCTCCACTCTATGACGCTGTACTCTACTCAACTCAATGACACTCTACGACGCTCTACTTTACTTTACGACACACCATGAAACTCTATTCTACCCTACCTTACTCTACGACACTCTACTCTACTCTGTGACACTCTACTTTACTCTATGGCATTCTACGACACTCTATTCTACTCTACTATACTCTACCACACTCTATTCTATTGTACTCTACTCTACTATACGACACTCTACGACACTCTACTTTACGATACCCCACGATACTCTACTCTACTAAACTCTACTCTACTATACTCTACTCTATTTTACTCTACCTAACGACAATCTATTCTACTTTACTCTGCTACACTCTACAACACTCTACTCTACTCCACGACACTCTACGAAACTATTTTGTAATCTATGATAGCCTACGACACACTACAACACTCTACAAAACTCTACTCTACTCTACAACAGTCTACAAAACTCTACTCTACTCTACAACACTCTATTCTACGCTACGACACTCTACGCTATTATACTTTACTCTACGCTACTCTCTACTTTACTCTACCTAACGACAATCTATTCTACTTTACTTTACTACAGTCTACAACACTCTACTATACTCTACGACACTATTCTGTAATCTATGATACTCTACGACACACTACGACACTCTACAAAACTCCACTCTACTATACTATACTCTACGA